CAAGTTTCCTTCTCTTTTCTGCCCACAGGACTTAGTTACCAATGTTAGAGAAAACAGAAACTGGATTAGCAGTAACAGGGAAGTATAGCAGGTATTACAGTTAAAGTTACCACAGACTGATTCACCAACAGAGGGAAGTTAGAGAACTCTTGATGGAAGGTAAGTTGGGAGTGAAATGCAAAATCCCTGGTCATTTGATTTAGGAAAGAGATAAAAGTGTCAAGGTGCCAAAAATAAAACCTGTAATATAACCCCCCCTATTTTCACAGAGCAAGATGTCAAAGCAAGCCAGAAGCACAAGTGTGAAACTTGCTAGAATTCAGGTGTTACATGGATCATTTCATGTGGCTTTAGTTACAGAAAACATTTCCTTTAGCAGTAGCTGTTACAAACCAAATCCATGCTCAGGGAAAAAATGATGTTAAAACCTAAAATTCATCAACACTTTCACCTACTCATGTGACCACCTGAAATTCTTTTGTATGATCACATATTCGTCCCACTTCCCTTGCAGCAATTCATATCTAAATCCAGCAATGACTTAAAGCCACCAACTTGCTCTTAACTAAGATCCCCCACCTCCACCTCTCCCAGTATAACAAAAGACTGTGTTAGAATAAATAGCTAACTTAATAAATGTAAAGCTCTGGATGTTCTTCGAGAAGGGTACAAGAACTGCCTGGGAAAGCTAGAGTAATTAAGGTCAAAACAAAAAATGAGATAACCTAGCAACTTCTTGATTCATAAATTAGAAATTTGTATTGAAGAAATCTTAGAAAAACAAGTGGAGTTCTTATGAAAATGAAAGAGTCTTCTCTGAAATGTTATTTCAGCCTCACACGTTATTTTATATTTTAGAACCTTTCTGCAGTATATACCTGTTTAGGGAATCAGCACATCAAATTAAGTTAATGGATGAAATAATTTGAAGGATTAAATAATCTGAAAATTGGTCTTTCAAGCATATTTACAGAACCTAACAGGCATCTCAGCATGTTGCTTTGTGTTGGAGCTGAAGGAGATGTTTGCATCTTCCCCCATGACCACACACAGTCCTCCAGAAGCCTTTCCCCC